TTTTAAAACTAACCTCCTCCTTTCTAATATTTGTAATTTTATTTCTTTCTTTGGATCAACCTCCAAAACTAGGTGAGGTAGCAACACTCTCCTTATCTTGACCCTGTCTGTAATAGAAACATTTCTCATCTCATTGTTTTTTGTTTTTTTGGTTTTTGGGGGCGTTTTTTGGTGCTAGAGATCAAACTCAGGACCTAGTGCTTGCAAGGCAGGTGGCAGAACCACTGAGCTAAATCCCCAGCCTTCATCTCACTGCTTTAATGCTGGGTCATAACCCATCAGGGACACTTCTTACATTACACTCTCAGTAAGCAAGAGGTGGCCTCCAAAAGTAAGATTGCATGGGTTATAGCATATATTCATTCTTTTGACTATTTTTTCTTCTATTTATTTATTTACTTTTTTTTTAGTGCTGGGGAACTAAACTCAGGGCTTTGTACATGCTAGGCAAGTATTCTACCACTAAGCTACAGTTCCACTCTTTTTTTTTTTTTTTCCTGAGACAGGGTCTGGCTAAGTTGCCCAGGCTGGGCTCAAATTTGCAATCATAAACCAGGCATAGTGGCACACATCTGTAATCTCAGCACTTGGGAAGCTGAGGCAGGAGGATTGCCACAAATTTGAGGCCAGCTTGGGCTCCATAATGAGTTCAAGTCCACCCTGAACTACATAGAAAGACCCTATCTCAAAACAAACAAGTGGCACTGACGATTTAGCTCAGTGGTGCCACCACCTCCCTTGGAAGCGCAAGGTCCCGAGTTTGATCCCCGGTACCAAAAACAAAACAAGCAAACAACAACAAAAACCTTTGCAATCCTCTTGCCTCAGCCTCCAAAGTGGTTGGGATCACAGGCATCCACCATAACACCCAGCTTCACATAGGTATTCTTAATTCTACTAAAAACCTTGTACTATCGCTGCTCCAGCATACACATCCATTAGCACTGCATCAGTTTCTCATTCCCCCATATACTTTCCAGCACTTGATTTCCTCTCTGATTTTTGTCAGTTAGATAGATGTAAAGAGATGGCTCACTGGGGCGGGGATTTAGCTCAGTTGTTCTGCCGCCTGCCTCACAAGCGCAAGGACCCGAGTTCGATCTCCGGTACCGAAAAAAAAAGAGAGAGAGAGAGAGAGATGGCTCACTGGTGTTCTAAGTTGTATTTCTCTAGGTGCTGGTAATTTTAACCACGTCTTCATATGCACAGTAGGCCCACAGGTTCCCATTCTGTGAACCGCATTGTGCTAGTCCTCTAACAAGTCTTCTATTTCATCTCTGTGCTCCTTCAGTCCTAGATTTCTTCCATTTGGCCCTCCAGACCCACTGTACACTTTCCATGCTGCTCTGTGGCCTGGGAGGCTAAGCTATATATCCTGGCATCAAACTGCTCCCTCGCCATCTGACATCTGGCTCTCACAGGAAATGGAGGAAGAGGGACATGAGGCTATTTACTTTACCAACTCCCTCTGTACAGCCTTGCTGTGAGCTAGCTGCCTCCTGCAACCAAAAGTCACAGCTCTTGTTCAGAGTCCCTCCTGGGACCTGTGGGTTCTTGCATCATTACTTATGGTTTCCCAACCCTGTTTGCACCTTTGCAAATAGTCCCTTTATTAAAACATCCTCCAGTTACACAAATTGGGAGCCTAACTGATACAGTCAGTGAACTGAAATTCCTCAATTTAACACAATTTCACTAAATTGTTTTGGCTTTTTAGCATAGGCTTTGGAGGCCTTATTGAAGAAGTCTTTGTATTCCTGGGAGTACAGGTTTTCCTTCTTCCTCCACCCCCTTTTTTTTCCTATTAGTTGTGTAGCTTTACCTTTTATGTGTAGATCTTTAATCTGTCCAGGATCCAATTTTGTCTATGATGTTAGAAATGGATGTAGTTTTAATTTCCTTCTTAGACAGAGGCAGTTTTCCTAATAATGTCTTTCCTCATTAATTTGAAATTGTCCCTTTATAACAAGTTCCCATTTATCACAAGTCTATCCTTGAGTTACTTATTCCATAACAATAGTCTATTTTCTGTTCATTGTCTCATTGCAATAGTTTTTATTACTATGGCTGTATGATATATTTTAATGTCTAATAAGGCTAGTTTCCCCTTCCTCTGATTTTTGCTCCTTTTTTCTCCAAATTATATATATATTTTTTTTTTTTTCTACCAGGGATCAAACTCAGGACCTTGCACTTGCAGGGCAGGTGGCAGAACCACTGAGCTAAATCCCCAGCCCGTGCCATATATATTTTTGAAGAGGATGCAGAGTTCCCAGAATTTGGCCTCAAATGATGCATGTCTCCAGTCCATTGCAGTTGACAGTGGTCTGGGGAGCAGTTCTGACCCAAGGGATGTAAGCTGAAATGGTGATGCAACCAGCACACATGTACTTGGAGACAGAGACTGTACCATTCCCCTTTTTCCTCTCTTCTCAACGTGTCAGGACTGGAGTGGGCCAGATCTCTTGGAACACGTGATGACAGCCACAGGCTGAGGAGGTGGAGCAACAAGATAGAAGCAGCCAAAGTTCTGAAAGGTTTTATCATCAGTAGGAGTTGAGCTTTTGCCCAGAGCTATTTCTACATTGTGTAATTTTGCCTTTTGTAGTCCCTTAATCTGTTCTTCTGTATGCCTCAAATCTACCCGATTAATAGATTTTTCTGATATTCAACCATCTTTGAATTCTTGTCCCACATGCTACTTGAACATATTATCTCTTTTAACACACTAATTTGATTAGCTAATTTTTGATATACAAAGTTTACATTTCTGTTCATTATAGTGAAAATTCCCCATTTGATATGTGTTGAAAACTGCTTTGTGATCCAGAATTTGCAACATGTTTTGAAAACGTCTCTCTGAGTCAGGGATGTAGCTCAGTGGAGCCATGCCTCTGTGTACAGAATAAGTATTCTGTAGCTGATGAATCCAGTGGACTAACATATGTCCATTAGGCCGTAACAGTTCAATCTGGGGTCCAAAGCATACATATCCTTTTTTATCATTTTTATCTGTTTGATCTATATAAATTACTGACAAAGATGTTTTATAATCTTTTACTATAAACGTATATTTGTCTGATTTTTTCTCATCATTCAAAATTTTTGCCTTATACATAATGATTATGTTATTTAATATATACATATTTGTTACTGGTATATTTCCTTGTGGAATGAACCTTTTATTATTGAAAAGTAATCCTCTTTATCTTTAATAACACTTTTTGTTATCAAGTGTACTTTACATGATAATTTATTTTGCTTAGAATTTGACCCATTAATGTTTTTCATACTTTTGCTTTCAACCTGTTTCAAATGTCTCTTGGGTACATAGTAATTGGATTTTATGTGTTATTCTCTCTGGAATTTTTTGTCTTTTAACAAGATAACTTAGTTTTTTGCATTTAATATAATTAGCAATCGGGGGAAGGATGTTACTAGGGATTGAAGATACATCCCCAGCCATTTTTTATTTTTTTATTTTGGAGACAGAGTCTCACTGTAGTTCAGGCTGGACTGGAACTCACTGTGTAGCCCAGGCTGGCCTCAAACTCATAGTGATCCTCCTGCCCCAGCCTGGCAAGTGCTGGAATTACAAGCATGGGCCACTATGCCCGGCATTTTTTTTTTTTTTCCTCTTAATTTTGAGACAGGGTCTTGCCAAGTTGCTAAATGGCCCAGGCTGGGCTTGAACTTGTAATTCTGTCTCAGCCTCCCAGAATGCTGGGATTACAGGACTATGCCACCACACCTGGTTTATTAACAATACATGTGTGTTTAAATCTCTAACTAATAAATTATTTTGTTTTTTCTCATGCACCTATACTGCTTTTTCCTCTCCATTCCTAGTTTCCTCAGATTAATATTTTTCTTCTTTTTCCTGCTTATAACTTTAGAAGTTATACTGATACTAAAGAATTTACCTAAAATTTACGACAGTGAAAATAAAAATACTATGTTTACTTTGCTGGTTTAAATCTGTCTGTATGTAACATTTCAGATTTCTAAAGCAGTGTTGTCTGAGATGTGATTCAGTAGTGGAGCATTTGTCTGACATACCCAAGGCCATGGGTTTGATCTCCACCACCACAAATTAAAATGTGTGTGGCTTTTCTCCTTTATATTTATTTTATTAGGCACGCTGGGGCTGAGCCTGGACGCTGCAGGGGCGCGGGGACCATGCCCGGAGGCCGGCCAGCCGCTGCATGGCTCACGGGCCGGGCGCGCTGATGCTCAAGTGCATGGTGGTGGGCGACGGGGCGGTGGGCAAGGCGTGCCTGCAGGACGTGGCCAAAGACGCCTTCCCTGAGGAGTACGGGCCCACCATCTTCGATCACTAGGCCGTCAGCGTCACTGTGGGGAGCAAACAGTACCTCCTGGGACTCTGTGACATGGCGGGACAGACTACAATCGTCTGAGGCCTTTATCCTATCCAATGACTGATGTCTTCCTCATATGCTTCTCCGTGGTCAATCCAGCCTCTTTTCAAAATGCGAAAGAAGAGTGGGTACCGGAACTTAAGGAACACGCACCAAATGTACCATTTTATTAATAGGAATTCAGATTGATCTCCGAGATGACCCCAAAACTTTAGCAAGACTGAATGACATGAAAGAAAAACCTGTAAGTGTGGAACAAGGACAGAAACTAGCAAAAGAGATAGGAGCATGCTGTTCAGCTTTAACCCAGAAGGGATTGAAGACTGTTTTTGATGAGGCTATCATAGCCATTTTAACTCCAAAGAAACATAGAGTTAAAAAAAGGATAGAATCAAGATATATAAATTGTTGTTTGATTATGTGAAAAACAACTTCAGTGGCCAAGAAAACTGTCAATTTCTCTCAGAAAGCATATGAAATGCTACAGCGATACCCAGACCTCTTATAATGAAGCAGTTTCAAACTTGAAAGAAAACAAAAACCTGTCCTCAGAATTCTATAAAGTTCATTAAGAATGTTCCTTAAAGGTCTAAGAAGCAGCAAACAGAATCTAAAGCCACAGCCTATTATAAATACTTTATTTCAACTAGAAGGTACAATCTCTCAGGGCTTTCATAGTTTAAAAAGCTACAATCACATCATGTTGAAACTACATTAAAAAAAAACAGTGCTGTAAATGGAACTGCTTGGCTTTGACCATATACATTTCTACACAGCTCTTACAGAATCTGCACAAAGAAATATCTTCTCCCCTTGCTCCAGTTAATTGTTCTTGTATGTAAGTTGTTTCTATTCCAGTATATCCAGAGTGGTGAAATAACAAGGCCAGTCATGTAGCCAAAGGTTGCTCCAAGCATATAGGAGATGGGCCATACCTTAAGAGAGAATGTTTGAGATCAAAAGCAAACAAACGTTTATTATTACCTGAGCACAAGTTAAATGTAAACTAAATATTTCCATATTAAAGCTTAATATGCTTTCTTAAAGAATGCCAAAAGTGTAATAAGGTCATAACTTCATTTATCAACAGTAAAAATGTACACATTGTAGTTAATGTGCATTAAACTGTAACAAGGCTTCTGACAATTGTAGATTTAGTTTGATGCTCCCCAAATTGCATGAGATACATGCTAAATTACAAATTAAAATTTTGGGTCAGACTTTGCCATAATCATGGACTCTATTTAGCTGTCTGAATTAGCTGGTAATTTTTTTAAAATTCCCACAATGGCTGTGTACATCAAATGAAATGAGAACTGTGTATGCTGACCAAAACACAAGAGAATATTGATTTATGTTAAAGAGGCAAGACCTAGAATCTAAGCATGTCACATGGAATTTAAAACAGAGCAGCTGCTTCTGTAATAAAACTGTTGTCACCTTTCAGATACAGATATTGCAACTATAGCAGAAGTTATAGAACCACAATTTATGTACACACTCAGAATCTAAGTTAAACAGAATGCTACTGGCTTCCAAATATCTATTCTCTCCAGTTGTGTTACATTTCACAATATTCCATTAAGCCAGAAGTAGATAATGTTGATTTAATTAATCCTGGGACAGTATGTATTTGTCCCAAGGTGAAAGGCTCTGCTTAAAAAGAAAAAAAAGTGGAAACAAATTTTTCATGTTCATCTGTAAAGCTTATGTGGCACTGGAGCCATTTCTAATCATCATTTGAGGGAACAGGCCTTAGAACTGTGTTAGAGGTGAACATTCTTAATGACTGGTCCTGTTACCTAATTTACCTTCTTTGTTTGGTCTGCTGTGGATCTGCCATGTTCCAGATGCCATACAACAGATAGCAGTGCTAGACAAAGTGTGAGCCCCCTAATGCAGTTTAGAGATGCATAATCTAATCCACAATTTCCCCTAGCCTTCCTTACATTTAACTTGCTGTTGCCTAAATTATGATTTGTTTTTGGTAGGCTTCTGTTAATTTTTATGACTTGTACTTACAGCTATGTGTATTGCACAGATTGGGTAATGGAACACTAAACATTTATACTTGAAAATGACAGCCTTAAATGCTTATATCAGTCACCAAAAAAAATATATATATATTTATTTTATTGACCTTTTTCAAAAAACAGGTTTTTCTTCTATTGATCATATTTACATTTTTGTTTTCAAGTTCATTAACTTTCACTTATGTTTTTATAAATTCCTTTCTTCTATTCCAGAGATTTATTTTGTTATTCTTTTTCAAGCTCTTGAATTGAAACATGGGTTATTCCAATTCAGCCATCCTAAATTTTTTTTTTTTTTTTTTTGGTACCAGGGATTGAACTCAGGACCTTGTGCTTTCCAGGCAGGCAGTGGCACCACTGAGCTAAATCCCAGCCCAATCCTAAATTTTTAATAAATATGCTCTAGTCACATATACATCCTCCTGAGAACTGCTTCAGGGCACTCACGGGGGCAGAATGTAGTGCCTACATTGTTCATTTCCAAATTGCTTCACTTTGTTCATTTTGATTTTCTCTTAAATCCAAAATTCTTTAGAAATACGGTGAGGAAATTATATGTTGATAATCTTTTTTAGGATTTTTGAAGGGAGTATTAAGGATTGAACACAGGGCCTTACTAGATAAGGGCTCTACCACTGAGCTACATCCCCACCCCTTTTTATTTTTGTTTTGAGACAAAATCTTGCTAAGTTGCCCAGGCTGGCCTCAAACTTGTAATCTTCCTCCCTCATCCTCCTGAGTGGCTAGGATCACAGGCATGTACCACCATCACACCTGGCTAGATGTGTAGGGCATGATCAAAATATACAGTGAAAGTTCAAATTTTAAAAATTTATTACAGTAAAAGACATGTTACTAGAAATCCCCTACAAAATACTCCTGCTCACTTCAAGAATACTTATGCCAAGGCCGGGGATTTAGCTCAGTGGTGCCACCACCTGCCTCGCAAGCACAAGGTCCCAAATTCAATCCCCAGTACCAAAAAAAAAAAAAGAATTCTTATCCCATCATCCTTGCTACTTTCTGAAGCAGTTCTGGAAGTTCTCTTTCATGTCCTTACAAGGTATGATCAAAAATACAATGAATGCTGCTGCCAAGTGCCATCCAATAGAAAGGCAGACTTGTAAAAACTTCATGGAGTATCCTCATCCACCTTACTCACTGGATCTGATGCCATGCAACTTCTGGCAAAAAAAGTAACCATTTTTAATCAATTCAGGACATGAAGGTAGCCATGATAGTGCAACAAAACACACAAAAGAGGACTTCCAGAACTGCTTCCAAAAGTGCCAAGAATGAGGGATAAGTATGTTTGAAGTGAGGGGGAATATCTTGAGAGGATTAATAGCAATATATCTCTTACTGCAATAAAGTTTTTTTATTTTTTTTATTTTTTATTTTTGGTACCAGGGATCAAACTCAGGACCTTGCGCTTGCGAGGCAGGCGGCAGAACCACTGAGCTAAATCCCCGGCCCAATAAAGTTTTTTAATTTAAGTATTCACCCTATTTTTCAATTACACCACACATTTCAATAATTCCATGACTGTCTGGTAGTCCTAACTGGTTTGTCCTAATTCCTTGCTTATTGATTCTATTAATGTTGGTGCTTCTCTTCCATGGTTCTCGATTGTAGGTTTTGAACTTATGGTATTTGTCCCTTCTGTCCAAAGAGCTTCTGTTTGCTGTGATGAATACAACAGATACCCCTAAGTTTCATTCAAAGTTTTTGAAGCTCTCAACAAATTGGGGTGGTTCAGTTCTGGGAAGGTATTGCTGCAAACACATGGTCTCCAGTAATGATCCTGTTTCCCAGCTGAGATTCAGAGAACAGAATAACATGGCCAAGTTCACAAAACTGTAAATAACAAAGCTAGGTCCTAACCAGGCCATCCAAACCCAAATTCAGTTCTCAAGATGCTGTTGGCCATGCCCAGTTCCTAATGCCCAGTAAGCAGACAACACAAAGAATGCTAAAATATATTTCTCTTTCTTTTACTTTAAAAAAAAAAGTTGCTGCACACTGTACAAAGTGTCATGGGTTTCACTCTCTCCACCCCTCCAAACCTCACCCATCATACACTTCTCAGATCCATCCTTCTCCCCCCCCACACTTAAAATCCTAGATTAAAATCTCAAAGCATGTGGAGATGCCCAGATAGGAGGATTCCCAATACCATACCTCGGCAGTTCAGGGTATTGAGAAAATAAATTAGGAGGAAGGACGTCGAGTGCTGGTCTTGTTCAGCTCTGTTTCACAGACCCAGTGGTAGGGCCTCTGGCACACGTCATCATTCCAGCGACCATCAGGGGTGAAGTGGGCACAGTCCTCACCTCCTCCCAGCCCATGCCCATACCAGTCATCCGGCTGCAGTGGTCTCCAGTTCCTGCAGATAGGAGACAGCCATGTACCCCAAGAGGTTGGGCCCTCAGCCGAGTCCCCAGAAGCCCCTCCAGCCGTGGGCCATAGGCTGGGAAGGGGGACAGTCCCAGACATGAGTCACAGAGCTGCAGGCAGGTCGATGCACACACTCACTTGAAGCCTGTCTCATAGTCAGTCCCATCCACCCATTTCCAGAGTCCGTCTTGGTCAGTTAGGCCCATCCAGGTCTGCACAGGGCCCATGTGGTGCTGGACAAACCTCTGGAGAGAGAAAAGGGGGCTGCTGACCTTACCTTTGGGCCAGCCAGTCGTCCAGAAGAGCCTGCTAGGGCCTCACCTGCTCGTCCCAGGAGGTGACCACCACCAGGTGAGCATCCTCCAGCTGGCAGTACTTGTCGGCTTCAGGCCAGGGCTTCCCCGATTTAGAGAACCAGTAGCAGCTGCCTTGGAACTCCACCCAGTTAACAGGGCAGCAGATCCTTTCTGAGCCTTAAGGGGGCAGGGAGGGAGAAGGGGCTGAGAAGCTGTCTTGGGGGTATGCGGGCACTGAAATAGAATTGGGCACTCCCCTCACCATTGCCGTGGAGGACAGCCATTTGACAGCTCAAGCTTCGAAGGCTAGACACAAACTGCTTCACATGGAACAGCAAGTTGGAGTGATCTGCGGAGGCAGAGGCCAGAGGGGGAACAGGAGGAAGAGGGCATTGAGGTCAGTATGGACACAGGGGCCGGCGCCTGTCACTTTATTGAGACGACCAATCACAGATTCCCCTGTCAAGATGCCTTGATTTGGTCTGAGAGACCCTCTCCAAACCAAACACACACACTGACACTTATAATCCCTCGCTGACCTTCACTCAGGTCCTGCTGCTGTTTCTCCAGCTGGGACTCCAGCAACTTCATCTTCCTTGCCACACTGCCTCCTAGGGGAAAGAACTGCTCAGTGTCCCGACATTCCTACCACCCCACAGGCCCCCACCCGGTGCCCAGCCCCCCTCACCTTGGGTGCTCAGGGCCTTGACCTCGGCCTCAGTGCTCCCTGTGAAGTTACGGAAGGCTTCTCTCAGGGCCTGCAGCTCCCCCTGCATCTGGGAGTCTGCGAAGGAGAGGGTGTGAGTAGGACAAAATGAGGAGGCTGTGTGGGCCACATGGCACCCCTCGCTCCCCTCACCGCAGTCCGCCACTTACATCTCCCCACCCAGGTACTGATCCCTTCCCTGCCTTCCCTGGATACCCACTTTGGGATCCGATCACACAGATAACCACCAGCAGCAGGATGCTGAGGCCCACGGAGAGCAGGAGGAGGCGGGGTCCGGAGCAGAGACGCTGGCAGAGAGACTGGGGCGGAGGTGGCCCTGCAAGAGAGTCAGATCTCAGGGACACAGGCAAGACTAGCGCAGCCGGGGTCCTAGGAGGGGAGCAGGTTAAGCCTCCTCTAGTAGACGAGGAGGAGCCCTGTGTGCGTAGATTAGGAAATCTCAGCAGTGGGTCAGAGACAAGTGGAAGCGGAGAAGAAGAGATAGATGCAAGGGGCCCAAAGCTTTGACTTTCCCTAGCACTACCCAGACCCCGAGTCTTTGCTGACACCTACTGGCATAACTATGTAATTGCAGCTTATGAACCTCTTCTGAGCCACCTCCTGTGGAGTAACTAGCCACTTTATTGGGGAAAGGGTTTCTTCCTCTCTAAGTGAATCCCACCTGTCTTTGGCTGAGTGCAGGGAGAGAAAATGTGGTCCCTCCACCACATGCTTTGTCCCAGCCAAAGCATGCCCACTACCTCCCCCAAGAGCATCATCTTAAACAAATCTCTCCTCTGAGAACAAGGAGGGGGATGCAGGGAATTTGGATGCGGGAGTTTGAGTTCTCCTCAGAGCAGAGACCCTCAGCCTCCTTGCAGGCCTCCTCAACCTACTACCTTGTATGGTGCTCATCCCAGCACCATACACACATATACACCACACATACCACACACACACACACACACACACACACACACACCTCGCATATCATATACCACATACAAAAAAGCACGCACACACACCACAGACTCACAACACATACACCACACACAGCCACACAACATTCACAACACACAGCCAAGGTAGAGGAGCCTAACTTCAGAAGAAACTGACAATACACCCATCTCTCAGCCTCCAGTTGAGGGCATTCCCTCCCTGGGATCCTGAGAAGGAAGTGGTATGCAAGGAAGCAGGGCCCTGTCACCAACAAAGGGACTCCAACTCCAAACCCTGAACCTTCCCTAGAAGGGGTAATTCAGCCACTGTTTTCTGTGTGGATGAGGCAGAGCCAGGGGTCATGGAGACAAGCCGAGGCCAGGGCTGGGAGTGCAGCTCTGTAGTAGAGCACTTGCCTAGCTTACCTGAGGCCCTGGGTTTAATCCCTAGAGACACTCAGGAGCTGACATGGAAAGGGCAAAAGCCACCAAAGGAAGCATCCCTCACCTCTTCGGAGCTGGTGGTGGTCCTTCTCCTCATTGTCCAGGTGCTGGAGATCTTGATATTCCTTCGTCATGATAAGGCTGGTGCAGGAGCCGGAGTGAGTTAAAGGCTGGGGCTGAGTGGAACTGGGGACTAGGGTCTGATCCCCTTTTACATCCAACTGATGACCCCTTTCTTTTTTCCTCTATCCCTTCCCATGCCTGACACCCAGAATATCCATCCTCTGCTATTTCCCACCACACACACACACACACACACACACACACACACACGGCCCCCTCCACCCCCTCCCTCAGCTCCCCCATACCTTTGTCCCTGTTTCACTTGTTGAATGTCTCAAAATCTGATTCCCAGGTCCCTCAATGCTGTGCAGATCCCAGGCTAAGGAGGGGCTGGAAGCCTGGAGAAGTGGGGTGGGTTGACAGTCCTGGACAATGGAAGGGACGGGCAGGGTCCATATGAGGGCCCTGAGGCCTGTGTGTCTGGATGTCTGAGCACACCAAACCTGGCATCTCCAGCACCTGGGACTTTGGACAGTAAACAGAGGTGGAAATGGATTTGGAACTTGGGGGATGGATGGGGGTGGGAGCGGGGGATGGGTTACCTCTGCTCTTCTTCCCAGGGAGGGGGAGTCTCCTGGTCTGTACCCACACACACCTCAGTCACCTAACTTTTCATTGCATGATTTGAGAGGGGGTGGCCAGGCCCAGCAGGGTGCAGTTTGCCATTTCCCTCTTCCCCTCCCCCTTCCACTTCCTGCCTCTCAATTTCCCAGAATTGTTGGTGTCACCAAATATTCCTGACTAGGATCAGAGAGATGGACAAGTTCCTGCTCTTACCCAACCTGGGCCTGTGACCCTGGCATCCAGACGGCAGGCCGAAGCTTCCTATAGGCTCAGCCCCAGGGTCTCCAGCCCCGGCCTGACTTATTCTCCTGGGAAGTCTGAAGACCTCCAAGCAGCATGGGAGTGGTGTGGGAGCTGGTGAGGAGCCTGAGTTGGCAGTGATGGCAACAAACCACTACTGACTCCTATCTTTACCCCAGGGCTTTTCATTCATTCACTTCTCTTACTAGCCCCAGAGCACAACCCATTTTGCAGGTGAGAAAGCTGAAGCCCTGGAAAAGCAAGAGCTTGCCAGAGTCATGCTGCAAGGAAGAAGCAGAGGGAGGACTGACATGTGTGTTCCCCCAGAGCCACAGTGAGAATTGAGGTCCCATCCTAACCACGAACTGGGACCCTGGAGGTGCTAAAATATGATCCCTTGCAGCCCCTGAAGGCAGAGAGGGTTGTCTGAATTCAAATGATCTTGGAAATTGGACAATATTAAAGATGCTAACAAGTCTTATTTTAGACTCCACATATGAAGTCATGCAAATGCTACTTTACAGATATTTCAAGGAGAAAACCAGATTTGAATTGTGAAAGTTCTGGATTATGTGAGATATTCAGGGATACATTGCTTGCATAAAATGTGACAGCTCTGTGTGTGCCCTTGTTTGTGTCCTCAAAACCCTTGTGTCATTTGCATGCACTGGGCTCCTGGCCAGTAATTTTGGTGACAATTGGGCTGTTAATTTAACACAATCTTTTTTATTCAGGAAAATGACCCAACACTGGTTTAGTCAAAATAGTGCTTACCCTCATGGTGGCAGTGGCTCACAGGGAGCACAAGGGGTCCCTGGCGGGGAGGGAACATCCAGCTTCTTGATCTGGATGCTGGTTACACAGCAGTACTCAGCTTGTAAAACTGCAGAAAGCCATTTATAGGCTGCATTTTTCTGTTTGCTTGTTGCACTGGAATGTTTTACAATCTTGTTTCATCCTTATGACCATGTTCCTCAAACTCATTGATTAGGGAGTAGTGCTCAGTGTATGTGTGTGTGTGTGTGTGTGTGTGTGTGTGTGTGTGTGTGCATGCATGTATTTACATCACTCTTCTTTAGATTTCTGTCTAGTAGGGCTGGAGATTTAGCTCAGTGGCACCATGCCTGCCTTGCAAGCACAAGGTCCTGAGTTCGATCCCCAGTACCAAAAAAAAAAAAAAATTTGTAGATTTCTGTCTAGAAAGAGGTTTTCTAATGTGATTAATAAATTTGTACAGTTGCACATGTGTTTTAGTTATTATTGCTACAAAATAATTACCCCAAATCTTAGCAACTTAAAACAATGAACTTGATCATCTCACTTCGTTTTAGTTTTTTGTTTGCTTTGGTGCTGGAGATGGAACCCAGGATCTTGCACGCCCTCAGCTCATCTCACTTTCTTAGGGTGTGACTTAGCCAATTGATTCTGGCTCAAGGTCTGTCACCAAGATGTCAGTCTGTACCACATTCATTCGAAGATTTGACTGAGGCTAGATCAACTCACAAAGTGACATGCTCACGACAGGCAAGTGAGTGCCAGCTGTTGGCAGGCAGGCTCAGTTCCTCCCTAATGTGGGCCTCTCTGGCTGCTGATTCCTCCCAGAGCAAGTGACCCAAGAGTACAACTCCTTTCATGCTCTAGCCTCAGAAGAAACTGTCCAACATGTCCATACCATCCTACTGGCCTCATGGGTCAGCCTTACTCATCGTGGGAGAGAACTCCACAAGGGTGTGAGTCCCAGGAAGTAAGAGCCCATTGGAGGGCCATCTTAAAGGACTGGTGAATATGCAATGGGGAACACACTCAAAATCATTTTACTGATGGGGCACATGATCGAGAAATCTAAGCACTGTGACTATAAACTATAGAGCTGTGAAGAGCTGTGGGCAGGACAGTAGTGAGGTCAGACCTCTGAGATGAACAATTCCTGGCCTTTGTGTGGGAGATGCATCAGAGATACGGGGCCCAGAGGCAGGGAGATCAGTTAGAAGGCTGTCATTGGTCCTAGTGAGAAACTATGAGGTTTGAGCCAGATAGCGAGAGCCACATGGACAGAAGGAATAGAGGACTGGGTGGCTGCTAAGTGTGCGGTGGGGTGAGGGTAGGGAGTAGCAATGCATCTTCTGGACCAGAGTCCAGAAGGCTCTAGAGTCCACAGAGATTTCTGGTTGCAGACCCAGAAGGCAGAGTCATGGGCATGGCCAGGTATGGCAAAGTGCTCTGTAATAAGCCCCACTCACGGACAGGGATGAGTGGAAAGAAAGCAGCCCAGGACAGAATCCCTGCCGGTGGGAGAAGCAGAAGAGTGAGGACCAAGACTGCCTGCTGGGGAGTAGGGGTGACCTTCAGGGCACCTCAGAGACCCCATAGGCCATGATAAAGTCTGCCAGGCACAGAAATAGTCATGGGCTTCCTGTTGGGGGAGTCAGGAAGAGGGAAATATTTTTCATGTTAAGGAAGCCTGAGCAGCTGGTGAGCAGAGAAGGGGCTGATAGAAAAGAGCATGTAATACTGAGAAGGGGAGTGGGGGTGCCCAGGTTGGAGCTCCCAGAGGGAAGTGAAGGGAGAAAACACCTGAAGCCTGTTCTGGGTTCACCTGGCCCTCACCTGGAAAGTGGGTTTAATGCCCATCCCAGAGAGTCAAGGATAAATGAGATGAGGAAAAAGCCACTAGCACAGCACCTCCACAGACTAAGTGTTCAGCATACGCTGGCTACTTTTATTTTATTATTCTCAATAGCAGCACAGCCAAAAGTGGAGTTGGATTTCTGGGGCCTCTTGAATGTGCAAGAAAGGGAATTCGGGAGCAGAATGGCAGAGGCTTTGTCTCGATGCACCCTAGAGAGTGGTTAGCTATTTCAGTAGGACAAAACTGAGGCCCCAAGAGGCACCTCAAGAGTCTCTGAGTTCAAACAGCTCCCTCCCTTCCACAGAGAAGGGGATCTGAACTCCCTGTGCCCTCAGAGCACTCCCAGCCTGAGGTTTGGGATGGACCAACTTTGATCTTGCCCTGGCCCAGAGGGTGGGGACTGCCTGGTGCCTCATTCCTGCGCTGACTGCACAGAGTCTGGCATCAGCAGCTCTCAAGAAGAGGTGGCTCGGCACTGAATTTCCAAAGAGCACGGCCTGTGCTAGGGGAGGCCACCAGGGCTAGGGTGGGAGAGGTTGAGAGAAAGTACTCAGGCCGGAAGGGTTCAGCACCAGGGGCAGAGGCAAGGGAAGGGGGAAGGCAGGGGCTGGAAGGAAGAAACGGTCCTCTGCATGCAAGGCTGCAGTCTGGACTGACACCCTCCCCACAGTGGCAGCGCTGTCCCTTCTCTGCAGTTGGGACTTCTTCGATTATGGGACTGGGGTTCTGAGCCCCCTGTGTCTACCAGGGTCTTTCTCCATCCTGCCTCTCCCCTCCCCAGCTCCACTCTATATCCCAGGCACACGCCAACTTTCCAGTCTAGGAGCCCAGGATTCTCTCTATGCCTCTTTCCTACTTTTAAAGGGGGACAATTTAAGAAAATTTCAAAACTCACAAATGTTCCTGGGTTTTATTTCTCAGGTTTACCCAATAACTGAAACTAGACCAAGAAGCTAATAATCATCATCATCATTTTCCATCACATCAAGCACTGTGCTAAGTAAGCACAGTTACTGTCCGCCTTATTCCTCTCAAGAAGCCAAGCTGGGCCGGGCATGGTGGCACACACCTGTAATCCCAGTACTCAGGAGGCTGAGGAAGGAGGATTGCCACAAATTCAAGGCCAGCCTGGGCTACACAGTGAGTGTAAGGCCAGCCTGAACTATATAGCCTGTCTCAAAAAAAAATCACAAATTTGAGCCCAGCCTAGGGAACAAAGATAGGAAGATCCTGGTCAAGGATTTAGCTCAGTGGTTCCAGTGGCTGCTTTGAAAGGTCATAAGTTCAATCCCCAGTACCAAAAAAAAAAAGAGAGAGATAGGAAGATCCTGTCTCAAAATGAAAAAGGGCTGAGGATGTAGTTCAGTGGTAGGAAGATCCTGTCTCAAAATGAAAAAGGGCTGAGGATGTAGTTCAGTGGTAGAGCACTTGCCTATCATTGCCCTGGGTTCAATCTGCAGAACTGCAAATCATAATCCAGTGAGGTAGGCAGTTACAATTCCCATTTTACAGCTAGGGAAATAAACTGAGAGGGTAAGCTCCTTGCCCAAAGTGACAGTAACACCACCATCATCTCCTCAATAACTTTAAACTTAGCAACAACCTCCCCGGCTCTCCACTGCTCCTGCTGTATACTCTACCCACACCCAGAGCCACCTTGCTGAAATAGAAGCCCTGCCACTCCTTCACACAGGCCCCCAAAAGCTTTTGTGGCACTTGCAGTAAAGTCCTGTGTTAAACTGTGCTCACCTCTCTGACCCATCGATATCTCTCTACTCTGCTCCACCCCAAGGTCCTCCTTTTGTCCTCCGTCTTTCTAAACTCAGCCCTGCCTCACTGTCCCTCTCCCTGGCACTCTCCCTCCACTCCAGTCTTTGTCATTATTCAAGGCTCAGCCCAAATGTTACCCCTATAGGCTTCCCCAGCCACCCTAATTAGCAAGCCCCATGGTCACTTTATTTGCTTAGCAGAGCTGTTTCAAGTCATCCACATTCCCTTATTTCCTACTATCCTTCATCCCCCCTGGATGGGC